GGGGCAGATTAATTTCAGGGCTACCCATTGCAGTTGTTTTGCATTTCCTTGACAAATTGTTAACTAAATTCACCCGCTGCTGTGCAAGGATATATGGCACACACGTGCCACCCACACTCACGCGACCACTTAAATTCGCCATTGCTCCGATGGTCATTAAAAGGTCAGTACACACACAAGTCCTTGTTCATATACAGATAAAGATGTGGCAACAAAAACATTTCATTTACTTAAACATTTGAACACTTGGGGAACGGAAAAATTAATGTACAGTAAGTCGTCTTCAAATTTATTGTGCAATTAATCTTAAAACTATAAATATTTCAGAATCCAAAGTTTTAGAAAATAGCATGCAAATAAAGAAAAAATATAGGATCATTAATTAAATATTAATTTAATTTTTCATATCCATATAGCAACAGAGAAATTTAAACAGAAAGGCAGGTTTTGAAAAAATGTTATTATTAAATATTTTATAAATTTAAATATTTAAAATAGCTAGTAGATAGACTTACAAATTTTGTAACCTATATCTTTTAATCGAAAAAGGCTCGCCTTGCATAAATATCAAATATAATATCGAAGACCAATAACAAATGTCTGTGCCAATTAGCAGAGCTCCAGACTAAAGCAAATTAGACGAGTCAAAATTTACATAGCCCAACCCCAAGCTAACGAAATTTCAATATAAGGCCCATGTCAATTATTGGGTCAATGTGCGTGCAGTGAACTGATTTCGGCCAGAAAGCCAAGTCAAACCGTAAAGTGGCCAAAAGTGTGCTATAAGCCAGTCGCCTCCAGAGAGTTCATTGAGACTAATTTTCATCGGGACCCAAAGAGCCGGAGACAAGGCGTTCCAGAGGGTGCGTACTTTGTTTTATTTATGGCAGAGGAGCAGCCATCGGGTCGATGACTCAGTGGCAATATTTGGGTTCTCGTTATCCCTTGATTCGGGCTTGCCAAAAGTTCATCCTCTTTTCCTTCTCAACTCTGGTCCTATTCGCACCACTTTAATGTAAAGTTTATAACAATATGGGTTATGTGCAAATTTTAAAAATATGTTTTGGGTTTTAGCAGACCACAAATAATAACACTAAACAAGTTAGTTTATAATTACTTAGTTAGTTTATAATTACTAAAGTTTAGTTTAATTTTAAACTTTTTTTAAATTTTAATTACAAAACGGCAGAGATTTAGTTTGTTTCTTACTAAAAAAAATTTTAATTCTTAAGCATAAGAATTTAGTTTTATTAGAGCGTGTCCTGCCTTTGGAACACATTTCGAGACCACCTCATTCCGGCTCATCCTGTTTTGTTATTCTGCAGCCAACAAAGGTGAATCATTGCTCCATAAACTCCCTCTATTAGGCCGCTAAGCCCCCCGACCACCTGATGAGTAAGCCAGGGAATTTGCGAACGATGTTGTTGAACCTCTACGGGGCGTGTGTCCATTGCACCTGACACGTACTCCTGGATGAAAAAAGGAATAGGTTGGAATTGGTTGGCCTGGCTTGGCCTGCAGGTTCACCCGCAGGTTCAAAGTTCGTGTGTGATTTGCTTTTGCTTGGGCATTAGTCATTTATTTCAAATTTTTGTTCCTGTGCGTGTAACAGTGCAATATTGTTTGTGGTCAGAAATCCGAAATCAGGTATCAGACATTTTTAAGACTATTTTATTTGCGTCAAAATATTGTTTTTTTTTAATTTAATAAATTTTATAATCAACTTTTAGCTGTATAATTATTAATTGTGAAAATAATTAATCAAAATCAAATCAGAATAATATACCCGTGGAATCTAAAAGAATATAAAAATAAAAATTTCAAGTGCAGAATAGTTGAGCCAAGTACTGTCAAGCTGCGAAGATTCTTCAGCGGAGCACAAATATCGAGTAAATGAAGAAGTGAGTTGGGATTAAATCTATCACTATTATCAGTCACCAGCTCCTCCAAAGAAGTCAATTTCTGTATCTGGTAAACTGAGAATAAGATTTTGAATCATATCATTGCTTAATGAATGAGTAAAATTTACTTCTTGACAAAGAAATCCAAAAATAAAGAATAAGACTTAAAAACTGACCTTAAGTAAGTATATATAAATATATAAATTTCTAAATGTAAAGAAAGAAAAATTTACAACATAATTTCTTTTATAACTTAAGTTGGCACTCTAAGAAAGGTTCGACTCATTTATGGAATTTTTAAATAGGATATGATGTTGTCGGGTATTTGTGTAATCAAATGAAATGAAACTATAGTCAGGTTGTTTTCCATTGCAAATCTTTTCCGGAAGCGAAATACGAACCGAGAAATGCAGGAAAACATTCGTATTGCTAAAAGAAATTTGGCGACAGAGACAGATGAAAAGTTTGACAACTCATTCGCTTTTAGTTCATTGACATTTTATAAAAAGTAGATTAAGATCTAAACATGATACAATTGTTAACAATAATTTATAAAAATAAAAAATATTTGAGCTATTACATTATCTGTATATTAATTTTGTACGTTCATAAAGTAAAAACTGAGGAACACAAAGCTAAAACAAGTTTTAAATTAATCAAACAATATTAATTCAATTTCTAACAGACCGAGTTTTTAAATCATTAGTACTTGTAGAGATATAGCGTGTGGATCACTTGAGGATTAGAAGTCCGTTGCAGCTGAAAAAACAGAAATGAAAAAAACAAAAACCGTATGTATCGTAAAAAAGGCATTTCAACTCACAAATCGGCGAATCCATCTTAGCTTGTCTCGGCAGTACAATATTAGTTCGAAAGGTTCTCTTCGCGCCGTTTCGTTTTCCTTCAAAATATCGACTAATGAAGAAACGAGTGCTTGGTAGATTTTTATACCACCCATGGGAGTGGAAAATAATTGCAATTTTCGACAATTACGGATCACTTCAAGAAACGTGTGACCATCAAATGGCGCTGGCTCACAGCTCTCATCAATTTCCTCGATGTTCTTGCCGTTCTTCAGAATGAAACTGCAGACATAGCCTCTGATTCTACACTTGCAGAATTTCAAAAACACGGTTTTGAGCTTCGGACAGTCGGGAATCACTGAGGAGATTTCGCAATTCTGCATTTTTAACTCTTTCAAGTTCGGCCATATCATGGAGTGAAACCCTTCTCCTGGTGATATACATATATTGGCCACAGTCAGGCAGCGAAGATTCGTCATGGGGCCACAAATCTGGAGCAGGTTAACCGATCGACATCTGTATCCACTTCCCTGGTAGTCCAGTCTTAACTCCTCCAGAGCAACTAACTTGTGCAGCTGGTTAACTAAAAGGCATAGAATTTAAATATAGTTCTGAAATAAATGCGAAAGAAATAAAAAGGCTCAAACTTAAAATAAATTTAATTCAATTGTCAAACCATCTTAATGTTCAGAGTAATTTTAATGAAATGACAAAATAAACTTATATTTAGCTTAACTTTTCCTATTAAGCGTTGCAGTGTTTTAAAAACGTTTTAAAAATTTAAAAAAATTAAAATTCTTTGATGTGTTATGAATGCATAGTCATATTTATTATATTGTAAAAGAAAATGTATACATAAATGAAGTCTTAATTTGATAACAATAAAGAATAAAAGCCATATTCATTACTCAAATAAAGTCTAGAATCATTAGATTACAATTTGAAATCAGCAAAATAGGAACCAAAACAAAAATGACAAACAAAAAGCTTAAACACGGAAAGATAATAAGCATTTTGTAATGACTACGAAAATAGGTTTACCGTTTGAATCGACCAAAGTGGAAGATAAACAACCGCTTATCACATTGCACTTCTTGCTACGTTCCTTTAACCCTTTAACGACAAGTGGTGAATATTGACTTTACTTATCTCATTACCAAGCTAATCAATATTCGTTTATTTTTTTTCATAAGAGCTGTTTGTATTAACAACATTAAATAAAGCAAAGTAAATGTATTTAACAGTTAAACTTTAAATAAATATAATGCTGCCCAATAAAGAAAATTATATTGAAATTATAAAAAAATAATACCTCACCTCCTCTGTCCATGTACCCCTCATATAACAATTTCCGCAAGTTTTTAAGTTCTGCCACAGCATTTAGGATCCTCGGCGATTGGCAATTGTCGTTGAGTTTTATTTCAACCGAAATAAGCGAATTGGCCATGTTAAGAAGAAAGGATTGCACACTGATACTGTTCCTTAATGAAACACTAATGTTCACCGATTCCAGATTGGGGCAGTGCTTCGCAATTGACTTGGCCAACAGATCGCTCCAGGTGTCTGATCCACAGATGAACTCCTCAATGGACGAGCCACATTCGGCCAATAGAACGCGATATAGACGCACCGGAAAATATATTTTCGGGCTGAACCTCTTGTAATCATTGCGGCTGTGGTAGGCAAACCCTTTACCCAGATGCTTATGCACTTGCGCCAGTCGAAGTTTGTCCCTTAGATTTCTTAAGTTCATAAATATTAGATCGAGGACTTCGAGTGGCAAATCGGTTATTGTCCGTTGATTGCTCATCGCGGGTACCCATGCCCTCGAGAGCGAAGGGCAAACTAAGAACTGATGCAGAACTGATGAGCAAAAGAATTTGTACAGATCTCCAAAAAAAAAAGAGAAGATAAGAACAGCGAGAAAGCTTTTCACACCCTTTAATCGTAGCTTTAGGGGTATATTTGTGCAAAAGTATATACCGAGGTGTTTGAAAGACTTTAATAATATTTGTATGATTGTCACCTGTTTACGTGCGTATAAATAGTAAAATTTCTAAATTTTTTAACAATATTATGATGTTCTTTATAAAAGCTTTGTACCTCATAGCATGTGCACTTGCGTATTAAATTTAACTCATGATTTTTGATTTCAAAATCAAAACTGAGTTTTTCTGTTTCCTGTAAAAGACTTACCGTTTTTTATAATATCACCTTCAGAAAAAAAAAACACATTGTAAAAGGTAATCGTATACTTAAGAAGACAACAAACAATTTGTTTAATTTATTTAATTTTTTAAATTGACTAAACTATTGGAGGCAGTGGCACCTCTTTTGGGCTGTTTCATTAAATTATCGTTAAAAAGTTCCCATGTATAGATCGATCAGCTCAGAATTGGGGGTCCGAAGTAGCTAAAAAAAACGTTTAAAATATAAATCGCAAAAATGTTTCTCTTTGCACTCACTAATCGTTTAATCCATTTCCACTTAATACGGCTACAAACAACTAGTTCCAATGGATCCCCTGGAGTAACTCCATTTTCCCTTAGTATTTCGACCATATTTGTCACATAGGCAAAATAGAGTTTTATATACTCCAGCTGAGTATATAGGACTCGCAGATTTGGGCAGCTTCGAAGCAATTGGAGAAAACCGTCGGCAGTGATTAGCGGGTAACATTTCTCACAAATCGTGTGGATATTTGCTCCATTTTTCTTAATAAATTTTAGGATATAACCTTCGATATGGCATGTTAGATTACGAATGTCCAAGTACTTAAGTTTTGGGCAGTCTGGCAATTCACTAGTGACTTCACTCTGAGTCAATTTGAGGTATTCCAAGTCAGCCCACATTATTGAACAACGCTCTTTGATTGGCTTAAGTTTTATATTACTCACTTTCAATTTCCGGAGATTTTTAAGTGAGCTACAAATTCGTAATATGTCCAATTCCTGTCTGCTCCTATAATAAAGTTCTTCGATTTTCAGCGTCTCCAGGGAGATCAATTTTTGTACCTGGTAAACTAAGCAAATACAATTTTATAGACATTAAAAAATAACTACATTTAAACTAAATTGAACCCTTTTATGGGATATCAAATACATAAATTTATTGCATAAAATTACTTTTTGGGACTGCGTGTTGGGCCCTATCATTAGAACACTTGGCTCTGATTACATATTTTAATTTTATTCATGGCTAAACTTAATTTTATATTGAACCAATATAGGTAAATGTTTTTCTTGTTCTCCATTTTAGCTTATAAATACTTACTTTGCTCATCCACAAATCCGATGATTGATAATTTTTTTAATTGCGGCATTTCACCAACGACATTCATGAGTGTGCAGTGTGTGAAATGTTGACTGAGCTTCAACGAAAGCGATATCAACGAGTTTTTTGTTTTTATTAAAAATTCCTGGACGCTGTCGTGCTGGGACCTATATACACAAGTTGATACCGATTTCAGATTGGGACAGTGCTTCACAACCGCCTGGGCTATAAGGTCGTCCCAGTAAAAGCCTGGACGCTCATCATCGTAAAATAATTCCTCAACTGTGGCTCCACATTCCTTTACAACAAACAGCCACAGTTCGGGTGTGAGATATGCATCGGGCGACAGCCTCCTGAACTCATTGCGGCTGTGGTAGACAAACGCTTTTCCCAGCTTTTCATGGGCCTGAGCCAGTTTCACTTTGCTTGATAGATAACTGAGATAGCCGAATATCTGATCGAGGACTTCCAATGGCAAATCGGTAATATTCCGTGGATTTTCCATCACGAGCTTTTTCCTCGAGAGCGCAAAGCGAACTGAGAACTGTGACCAAACTCATCTTCTGGAGAGCGGAATGCATTTGCGAACTCTGAGAGAGGGAAATCGGAAAAGCTTTTGATTTCTCTCTGGCCAGAGTTCAGTGACATTACCCACGCAAAAAAACACATTTGTGATAATAGCTCGTTGCTTTTCTTGGCATAATAACAAAATTCAGTGGTATTTATTTTATATCTTATTTTTAATTTTAGTGGTATACTTACAGGAAGATTTTTTAGTAATATTCTCTTAGTTTCAACTGCATATATTTAGTTTTATTTCAACAGAATATTCTTTTTTCTTTACTTTTTTACTCAGTGCCCTCATACAAATCGATCAAGTTTGAATTTGGGGCTTTAAGCAGCTGAAAAGAAAACTCAAGGCAACATTTGAAAACATATTGCTTCAAAGAACTCACCAATCGTCGCATCCATTTCCACTTAATACGCCTACATACAACCAGTTCTAATGGGTCCTCTGGAGTGACTCCATTTTCTCTTAGTATTTCGATTATATTGTTCACATAGGCCAAATACAGCTTTATATACTCCATAGGAGTATCAAGGTATCTCAATTTAGGGCAGCTGCGTAGCAGTTGGAGAAAGCCGTCAGCATTAATTGACGGATAGCATCTCTCATACAAGGTGTGAATATTACTACCATTTTTCAGAATAAATTTGAGGATATAGTCTTCCATATGACACCTAGGATATTGAATTTCCAAATATTTAAGCTTAGGGCAGTCTGGCAGTTCGAAGGAAATTATGCACTGGTTCAAAGTCAATGATTCCAAGCTTGCCCATACCGTAGAATTATTTTCCTCAAAAGGCAGTATTTTAATTTTGACCACACTCAATTCGCGCAGATTCCTTTGGGAGGCACAAATCTGTAGTAAATTAACAGACGGCTCGTCTATATAATATATGTGTTCGATTTCCAACTTTTCCAGGGCGACCAGTTTCTGTAAAAGATCAACTAAACAAAAGACCTGCGATCAGTTCAATTGGCGATTTAAACGACTTGTTTTGAAATATTTATTTTGTGGATAGTATAAAAGATTTCATTTGGAATTTGCTTTAAATAGAATTTTTGTGACATTTTTACATAAACTCTTGTGTATTGTATTCTTTTTTACAAACGTAAAGCTATATTTAAAGATTACAAGTATTTTTCCTTTTTGCTTCAAAAGACTCACCGTTTTCGTCCACATTTCCCATAAATGAGAAATTTTTTAGTTCGGTAATTTCAGCCACCGCGCCTAAAATTGTAGGTGCGAAATGATCTTGTTGGTCTATTGTAACCGATGTCAGCTTGTTTTTCATTTGTATTAGAAAAGCCTCGGCGCTGACACGACCTGACCTATATAGACAAATGGATACCAATTTAAGATTGGGACAGTAATTAACAACTGCCTGGGCGATAAGGTCGTTCCAGGCTAGACTCCTTCCATCGCACACAAGTTCCTCAATTGACGGGCCACATTCCCTAATGAGAATCACCCACAGTTCGGGACTTAGCCTTCCGTTGGGCGAGAGTCGCCTGTAGCCATTGCGGCTGTGGTAGGCAAAAGCTTTTCCCAGCTTTTCATCAGCCTGAGCCAACGTCACTTTGTTTGATAGTTGGCTAAGATTACTGAATATCAGATCGAGGACTTCCAACGGCAAATCGGTAATTCTCCGTGGATTTTCCATCACGAGCTTTTCCTTCGAGAGCGAAATGCAAACTGAGAGCCTCGGCAAAAATTTGTCGTGTGGAGAACAGAATGCAATTGCGAATTTTAAGAGAGAGAAATTGGAAAAGCTTTTCGCTTGCAATTTATAAACCGTTCCCACCTTATCTGCGAAAACAAAATAATTAATTAACTCATTAAATATAAGGAATATTCAATAGCATTCTTATTATTTTATTACCAAACTAGATTTGATGTTGAGTTTTTTGTTAGTAAAGCCCTTTTGGGGCAATCGAAAGAGTCTGACTCACTTACATCATTTCGTTTCGCTTTTTTTACGATTTTTTGATATCAAATAGCTAATCGGTTATAGTCCGGTTCCATTTCGTTGCTGAGCTTAATAGCTCATTGCTTTATTTTACAAATTTATTTGTTCAGAATTGGTAACTATCGAACTTATTATGAACTATTGCAGCAAAAATCTGAGCAGGACAATTGTCCTCGCTTAATGTTGACTTCCAACTCCCTAATTTCTTTTAAATCAAGTACAACAGCGGTTTGGCACCGAAGTTGACTGCATTTTATGGCCACTTACTTGGCCAAAACATCAAGCAAACTCTGCAATATGATATAGATTACAGTAATTATGGCGTCGTTATGCACCAACCCCTTGTGACAAACCCAAACCCCGTGTATCACAACAACAAACGGGGTCTGGGCCCAGACAGTTGGCCTCCTTCTCCCACCAAAACGTTCGCTAATTTGTAACGTTGCAGCAGTAAACCGAAAAGTGCACAGGGTTAAGGAAGGAGACAAGGGTTAAGGTACACAGTAAAATTTATAATAAGAAATCAATCATTTTAAATCTGTATTTAAATGGATAAATTTCAATTTCTTGATATTTAATAAAAGAAATTTTAATAAATATAAGACTTAAATTGTATTAAGAATAGAAAGTATTGTTTTTTTCAGTGTATAGCTATGGCTGACACTTTTGATGCCAGTTGCGTGATAAGAGACGACCAGATGAGCCGGTGACGCAATGCAGTGCAGCATGGAGGTCAATAAACCAAGCTTAATGTTGCGGGAACGACGTAAAAATTTCACAAAAAAAGGGTTGCAAGCTTTTACAACGGAAAACCCTAGAGTTCTTGAGTTCAAATTCTGTTGACAATGGGGGAGAAATTTATAAAAATAAGAACTAAGAAATAAGTTTGTTATTACAATATAAGATATTTTTTAAGGTTTTTTAATTAAGTTATAGAAGTAAAGTGGAATTCCATGATATCACTAAAAACTTAATCTTAAAATTTATAAATATAATAAAATAAGCATCTGTTCGATTCGAAGACGTTTTTTTTTATTGTTGTGCCAAATTCTGAGCCTACACATGGAATTAAACATGTCTATTTCGTATAAAATAACATTTTTAGAATAAAAAAAACATTTTTGTATTTTTTTCCTTGATTTTCTAAATCAGCATAAGACAGAAAGCAACACCTGTTCCCAGTTGTTTTTTATTTGCCCAGCTTATTTTGGCAAAAGCGAGTCCTGCCGACTGGTTTCGGTAAAGGATAATTTGTCATTCGAGGGCAAAAACAACCGAACCACCCACCTTCAGAAAATTTGCAAAAGGGCTAAAAAAAAGGGGTTGTTAAATGCATACAACTGTGACTCACCTCACCTAGTTTCCACTGTGGAAATGGAGTGGAAGTGCGGGAACTTGCACAATAGGCTGGCTGAAGTATCTTTTGCCACTTGCAACTTTCTCCATTTCTCCGGTATTAGCGCACACTCTCTCCCTCCAGAACTTTCCCTGTGACGAAGTCGGGCTGAAGAAAACCCGCCCAGCCGGTTCTTGGGTAATCTGTCTAAGCAAATATTGCGCGCCCAGGTGAATGCAACTAGTTTTTCCAGCACCGGAGAAAAACTTGCAATGGCAATGACCCAACAGGCTTAGCCTTGAATCTGCTGCAAGTGGAAAACCAGTTGATGGCATCAGAAGAACAGCAAGAAATTTTCCACTAGCTTGGAAGAAAATAGAATACGGCAAATTTGTTCTATTTTAACTTTGGGTAAAACTTTTAAAATCAACAATTTAGTTTAAATATTTTTTTGTTGAACAAACTTAAGACAAATTGTCAATTGACTTGGTTTTTCCTGTTCCAACTGAAAGTTCAAGTTTTCCAAATCGATATGTCAAAAATATCTATTCCAGACATACTTATTAACATTTTTTTATTTGACTAGGTTTTCTTTTTTTTACATTGTAAATTTTTTAAACTGAAATTTATAGCTAGTTTTCCTTAAACTTACTTTTTTATTTATTCAAAAACAGGACTTAATTCACTCTTTTTTTAATATTGCTTAAGGATTCACTTTGATAAGCAAAATTTATATCATGCCGAAGATAATAACCATGCCCTTGGTCAAGTCCAAAGCGATTGATGCCAGACGAGTTTCGAAATATCTGTTAAACTATGCAATATCTGTTTGGCATCTTTATGGGGTCCTTGTCTCGCCGAAATGACGCCAAATGAGCTGTCGACAACGAACCGCCACCCACCGGCAAGAACTCCGGCGCATTGATAAGACAACTTTTACTTTAGTGAGCAGTGAGCAGCAGAATTTTCTAGTTTTCACTTGTCACACAGACGAGGTGGGAGTTTGAGTTTTGGTCCCTTTTTGTATATTTTTTATTTGTGTTTTTTTTTCTGGGTGCGGCACTTTCTAATACCCACGCAGTGGCGGAACAAGCAGTTCCAATGAGTCAACAAGCGAGAAGAGAAGGAACGAGAAGGACCAAGCAGAGTGCAGCAGGAGCTGAGCACCGAGACTCCTGGGAAAACGTAGTGGTGTGGGTAGGTCAACCACCAGACATTGAACCCAGCACTCACACACACTGGCGCACGCCAACTTCCGTTGAGAACCCAGAGAGAACTGTAGAGAGCGTGAAAGAGAGAGGGGGTCGTAGGAATGGGTATGGGGGGATCGCAGGGGCTGGGCGACTTACACGCGAAAAGCATGCAGCACGTGAATGGAGCAGCATGCACAGCAGAAGGAGACACAGAGAAAGAGAGCGAGAGGAGTAAGCTGGGCAATGTCTGCCTTGGTGGGCGAAAGAGAGGGCCAGAGAGAAGCTTAAAAGACCGACTTCCAGAATATCCTGAAAAAATATGATGAAATTGTAAAATTATGTGATTTCTTCAAAATAAATGAGAAAATTTTAATTTTCATATCTTTTTCCGTTTTCTGGCAAAAAACAAAAATGATGAATTACTAAATCGAGAAAACAACAGTATTAGAATAATTTAATCCAATTACCCGGCAAGGATCAGCGATACAAAACCTTGACTTGACAGAAAAATATTATTACATTGCGTATTTACTACCATTATATAGTTTATAATAGGAGAAACATTTTCGTCCGCTTATCAGAAGTATACCACCTTTTGAAAGAGTATGCGAAGAACTGGGAGAACTCAACAACTTCGTTCGTTGCCTGGCATCGTCGTCATCGTCGCATTTCACAATTCGCATTGTGCGCTAGTTTAGTGGGTTGAGTGACACAGACACAGTTTGCGGCCAGAGCGAGACGGGAGGTGGTGCAAGTGGGATAGAAGAGGGGGCAACGAACAAGTTTTCAATAGCGGAGTTGGAGAAGCTGTTGCGATTTTGTAATCGCAAGCCAAGTGGCGTTACAGTTGCCAGATGATTGAAATTGCCTAGAAATTTGTGTAGTATTAAAAAAATATAATATATAACATTTATCTGCCAAATACTAAATCAAGTGTATTAAAATTTTAAATGCTTGCCATTATTTTTACTAACCCTTGAAGCTACAATAAAAAAAAAAGTTTTCATAATACCTAATGTAATTATATAATTTGAAAAAATAGAGAATGGAGTATAGTTATAGTTTAAAAACTTTAAAACAAGTTGCTTTTATTGTATTTCTCTTTTTTATAAGATAAGACGTTTCATTTAATTTCTTTGTGATCTTCGCCATCTGGCAACTTCTTTACCCATTTAAAGCATGTCTTATAAAAAAATGACGAAAGGGGAAGGCTGGCGAAAAGTGGGCACGTTGAAAACAAAAAGCGAAAAAGAAAAACTTCCCAGTCGAGCACTGCAGCTCTCCAACTCGCTCTTTCTCTCTCCCTCTCTCTTTCTTTCCCCGATTGCCATCTCTTTCCATAGCTGTCTCCATTTTCATCGCCCATTCCAGAACTGAGATCCCAACTCCCTGTTCAAGTTATGTTTCGGGATGTGGAGTATACCACTAGGATGGATGGATAGCTCACACAGATACAGGGCTTTTCCTGTCTGTGAGAGAGTGTGTGTGTGTTTTGAGTGTGTCTCTGTGTGAGTGGGTATCGGCGAGTGTGTGTGTGTGTGTGTGTGTGAGACGAAGCGAATCGAGTCGAGAGTAGAGTAGGACAAAAGGGAGACACAATTTTGGTAGCAATGACCTTCACCGCGTTGTTCAAGTTGTCGTAGTTGTTGTTGTTGCTGCAGCTCCAACACACAAATACATATATACATATAAATATATATATATATATATATATGCACACACAGAAACAGATGCAGATAAAGAGAGCGACAGAGAGCAAAGCAGAATGAATGATGCATGAGTGCAGATGCTTGTGGACTGTTTTGTTGGGCGAAAAAGGAAGAGGTGGGTGGCTCGGTGTTTTGGCCGCTATGAGCCCATTCGCTTTTCCTCCCTCTTAAAAACACATAAAAAAAATCCTTTTTTTTACAGCTGATAGATTAATAGTGTTATAATTTGGGATTTAATATTGATCCTGAATCTAAAACTAAAATAAAAACTTTAGCCTTACAATTAAATTCAGGACTAATTGAAACATTTATATTTGATATTGAAGTTTAATGTACAATACAAGGAGTAGGGTGATGAAAAGCATTTTAGAGAACTAAGTATTCAATAAGTATGCTACAAAAATATGCTTCTGTGTTACTGGAATTGAAATTTTAGATAAAATCTCACAAATTTCCAAATGAACCAGGTTATAGAACACTATAATGAATAATTCTTAACAGTTTG